GTGGCGCATGCGGGGACCAGCCGGGGCATCCCAACACCCTGTCACCTACTGTACCCGAAACAAGTGAAAAGTCCCGGTCACAGCAGGTTATAAGACTAAAACCTTGAGTGGCCTGATTAGTGGCCACACACACACTCTAGACCCACTGCCCCCTCTGCTGCCTTCTGTGGGGGTCTCCAGGGTGATCTTTCACCCAGCTCACTTGGGAGCATTTCAAACCCTGGCAATCCTTGTTCCATGGTGTCCAGGTGCTGGGGTGACAGGCCTTACTTGAAATGAAAGAGCATAGCTAGGCCGTGGTGGCGCACACCTTTAGTCCCAGCACTCGGGAGACAGAGGCAGGTGGATCTCTAAGTTTGAGGCCAACCTGGACTGCAAAGTCAGTTCCAGGACAGCCAGGGCTGGAACTCACTGTATAGATCAGGCTGACCTCAAACTCAGAGAGATTGACCTGCCTCTGCCAAGTGCTGGAATTAAAGTTGTGTACCACCACCACCCGACTGGCTTTGGGGATTTTTAAGCATAGGTGCAGTGTTGTGGGACTTGGCAGCTAGTTTGCTCCCATCTGAGCCTCCCCCCAGTTCCTCCTCTGGAGCTGGCCTCCCATCCCTGCCTGGATGGAAAAGGCTGGTGGTAATAACTGTGGGTGAGGGGCATCGCATTTAACCAGCGGCTTCGTGGGGTAGACTCAGGCTAGGCTGAGCAGGAATGTGTGGGGAAGGCCTCTGGGACAGCTTGGCCCCGTCCCACCTCCCCTACAGGGGCTTGGGCTGGTTGCTTTCTGGCCCCAGACAGATAATGGGTTCAGGGCCTGGGTTTGCTGACTGCCTGTCCCCTATCTGTTTCTAGGACAGTGGCCACCCCGAGACCCTCATCAACCTCATTGTACTGTCACAGCACCTAGGCAAGCCCCCTGAGGTATGTTGTAGCATGACATAGGCCTAAGCCTCTTGAGGGTGGTGGTGGGGACAGCAATAGGACAGGCAGAGACCAGGAAGGCAGCATCCAGTGGCTTCATTTGAGGGGGAAGAAGACACTGGACCGCGTTCTGCACAGGGTCCTTGTGAGCCCCGAGTCACCTGCATCTGTTTGTGTCCCAACTAAGCACAGTCTGCTGTCCTCAGGGTTGAGTGGTCAGGGCTGGGCTGAGCCCTCTTAGTCTGGATCTTAGAACAGTTCTCAGCCTGTGGGTCACAACCTCTTGGTGGCTAAATAGTGCTTTCACAGGGGTCGCACGCATTATGATTCATAACAGTAGCAAAATTACAGCTATGAAGTACCAATGATATGGGGTCAGCACAACTTGGGGAGCTGTGTCAAAGGGTTGAGAACCCCTGCTCTAGAGTGTAGACATGTTAGCTCACAAAGCTTCATCACCCTGTCTCTCCAGTGTGCCCAACCCCATCCTGGTCACTTCATCCCTGGGGCCTCTGCTCCGCACCTGAGGCTAGGTGTCTGATGTGCTGCCTGTCTCGGGGTTGGGAGTTCTGGGGGTTAGGGTCCCTCCCTCGCCTCCACCCTGCTCTGCAGGGCAGAGTGGCTTTTGGATCCCCATATCCGGCTAACTCATCCCACCCCACACTCCTCAGGTGACAAACCGATACCTGTCACAGCTGAAGGATGCACACAGGACCCATCCCTTCATCAAGGAGTATCAGGCCAAGGTGAGCAGTCCTTTCTGGGATGGGGGATGTCCTGAGGGGAAGGCTGAGCTAGCTCATGCATGACATCTCATTTCCCACTGCAGGAGAACGACTTTGACCGCCTTGCACTGCAATATGCGCCCAGCGCCTGAGGTGGAGATACCCCTGGTGACCCCAGCTTCGTGCCAGACGTCGTCCTCACTTCCTTGTCTGTCAATAAAGTCTGTCCATCTTCTCTCTGCCTAATACCTACACAATACTCACTCCAGCCACTCTGATTGGGCTGTGGATCAGGATTTGGAGGAAGGAGTCCAGGGTCCCACCTCACTCTGGGCTGCAGGATAGACCCCTGTCCCCGTGTTCCCTAGCCTCCCTGTCTGACAGTCCTCACACCAGCCCTACAGGCATCTGCAGGTAGCCTCAGTCAGCATGCAGGGAACCAGACGCAGGCCCACAGAGCAACCATCATGTGTATGTTGAGATTGGAACTGAGGACCCTAGGCTTGTCACGGCTGCCACTGCACTTCACGATGGGCACAGTCACTGGCAGGACTGTCAGCCAAGATTGAGACCCACGCTGGGCCCTGCTTAGCAGATACTTACTTACCCATAGTGAGGAGCCTTTGGACAAGAAGGAGGAAGGCTAATGGAGGCTGTGGGTGGGGGCAGAGATTGGGCTATGTGCCATCCTGTTAGGCTGTAGAGGACATGCATGCATCCCAGTAGCAGACAGCAGACAGGCCCCTGAACTGGCTTTGGGCTTTGTGACTGCATCTCACCTGCTAGGGAGGAGGTCGGGTATTTATTTGGCTTTTGGGCTGGTGTCTCGTGTCTTGTGGGTAGCCACCTGACACACCACCTCAGATGCCACTGCAAAGCATCCCCTGGCACCCCACCCTGTGGTAGGAGGGGGCAGGGCATCATTATCAGCCCAGCTTCGGCTCCATAGGGTCCACAGCCTTGGTGACTGTTCTAGTCACCCTGGTCCCAGCAGCCCTGGTCCCAGGCCAAGAAGAAGCTCAGACCGAGCAGGCTTCTTTCCTTACAGATGGGCACTGCGTTTGCCAGATGGCACAGAGGTTGCCAGGAGGAACTGTCACTTGACAACTAGCCTGTCACTTGACAACTCAGGAGCAAGTGCAGGAAGCCCTTAGCCACTAGGGTCTACTGTCAAGAACACTAGGTGTGGCTCACCTGAGGAGAGGTGGGAGCACTGGGGGCTGATGACCAGCCTTAACTACATTATGAGACCCCATCTCAACAGAAAGGGGCTGTGAGGGGGCTTAGTAAACTGCCTTCCCTAAAGCATGAGCCTGAGTTTGGATCCCCAGCCAATAGCAGAGGTGGCTCGTGTCTGTAACCCCAGGGATGGGGCCTGGGTGTAGGGGACCAGGCTCCCTAGGGCTCATGGGCCACGTGGTCTAGTTAGATCAAGGAGCCCTAAGTCAGAGACCCTGCCTCCAAAATGGAGATGAGGGGGGGCAGAGAGGTGGGTCAGTGGTTAAGAGCGCACTCTGTTCTTGAAGAGGACCTAGGTTTGGTTCCCAACGTGTTCCAGGGGATCTGATGCCCTGTTCTGTCCTCTGGGCGCCAGGCCGGCAAAACACACAAAATGACTAAATCTTTTAAAATAAAATAATAGCAGGGGCTGGAGAAGGGGGTTGTTGGTAAGAGCACACACTGCTCTTGCAGAGGGCTGGAGTTCTGATCCCAGCAGCAATGTCCATCCAGCTCACAACATCCTGGAACTTCATCTCCAGGGAACTCCACCCCTTCAGACCCATGGGCACCTAGTCTCCTGTGACGTGTACACAGACACATACACACCACAGTTTTAAATAGAAGTGAAGGGAGGTAGTGGACATCTATCTCTGGGCTCCACACTCATGCACTTGGCATGCATGAGTGCGTTCCGTCACCAGCGGTGGATATACCATGCATGGTGGTTCATGCCATTAGCAGCTACACAGTGAGACCCTGTCTCAAAAACCACAAAGAGCCTGAGGCAGTTGGCAGATCAGCACAGGAGGCCTGGTTGGAGGAATCAGCAGAGTAGAGGAAACCAACCAGGCTAGTCTTGGTGGTTTTCATTCTGGAAGGCGGAACCACTGGAGGCTGGCCTTTTGACTGTCCCTAGCCCTCCTCCAGGTAACTCCCTTGCTAATAACTGCACCCTCCCGGTAATGAGCCTCTAGGTGGCTGGAACAATAGAAATAGGACCTGTGCATCCCAGGGCCCAGCGGACACAGGACAAATCCTCAGTCAAGTATGGGCAGAATATATATTTTGTTTCTTTGCATTTATTTATTTGTGAGAGTGGGCATATAGGTAGAGGTAAGATAATTTGCTAGAGTCTGTGGTGATACATTGTTTATGAATCTAATAAAGCTTGCCTGGAGATCAGAATGCAAATCTAGCCACAGCCATAGAGGCAGGCAGTGGTGACACACACCTTTAATCCCAGGACCCAGTACACTGAGGAAGATGGATCTCTGTGAGTTCAAGGTCACCAAGGGTTAAATGAGAGTGAATCAGTCTAAAAGAGAAACAAAACTCACACCTTTAATCCCAGCACTAGAGAAGTAAGAAAGGCAGGAGCAGGGTCTCAGGCCTGGCAATTAGTTTCCAGCTGCATTGACGACAGGAGGAAATTAGCTTCCAGCTATGTTGCAGTCAGGATAACCCCAGCCTTGGTAGAGGTAAGAGCTTTCTGCTGGCTTGGCTGCTCTGCTTTTCTGATCTTCAGCTTGAACCCCACTATCTGCTGTCTCTGGGTCTATATTATTCGTGCTACAAGAGTCAGTCTGTCCTCACCTTCAGGTCGTTAATTTGGTGACAAGCCCCCTCATCTGTTGCGCCGTCTTGACTCCAGAAGAGCCAGGACCACCCAGAGCCTGGGGACCACTTGATCTCACAGCAACACCACAGGAGGGCAGGAGAGGTGGCGCCCAGCATCTTGAGGGGCGGAGCATGAGCCAACCACGCCCCCGTTTTTGCTCCGGCGGGGGCCTGCCCGCCCCGGCCTGGCTGCAGCCCA